CGACCCCCCCCTTTTTTGCCGTTTGGTTTTTTTTGTGATGCGTATCGATACGCATCACAAAAATTCCGCAGAACCGCTGCGTTTCGGCGGCCGGGGAAAAAGCAATAGATGCGTATCGATACGCATCAAAAACTTTTCGCCGAATCGCTGCGTTTCGGCGGCTGGGTAAAAAGCAATAGCAATCAGCAAAGTAAAAAGCAATAGCAAAGCAATAAAGCAGTTAAGCAGCAGTTTTTGATGCGTATCGATACGCATCAAGGACGTTTCGCCGAATCGCTGCGTTTCGGCGGCGGTTCAGCAGAACAGAATCGGCTCCAACAAAATAAATAAAAATATAAAAGCGAAATAGGACGAATACAATCGAAACAGGATGAATAGAAATGAACGAAAACGCTAAAACGCTTCTATCGCGCTAAAAATGCATTAACCCCGAGATGTGGGGTACGGTAGCAGAAGCGCGTGCCCTGCTAATTGCCAGCTTTGACTGGAAGCAAAACGGCTATTAAGCCCATGCGCAGAGCAGAATTTCAGCCAAAGAGGTGGTTCTCTTTGAAGACCGATAACTTCCTCAAAGCGGACTGTGGAATGGAGAGCGTATTGCGCTATAATTAGAAAGAGTTTTAGTCTTTCCTGAAAGTACTAAAATGTTCATGAAGGTCGCGAAAATCACAGAGAAATCTGCCATAGGGATTCGTTGGGGAGTGAAGGGTTGAAGTTCAAGTTGAACAGGTTTGAATCAATATATTTTTTTGTAACTCAACATTTCACAAATCTGAGAACGGATCCGAGCTTCTCAAGATTTTCTCTTTCTAAAAACCTATTGAACTGTTCCTGAAGCTCTCGGGATTCATGAGAATCTCGCGATGGGGATTTCTTAGGGAGCACTCCCAGCCGCGCGAAAAACCCGTTTCCTGTGCACCGTTTCAAGTGAGCGTGTTCGAATAGCCAGGAACGCATGTAGAACGTATCCTGTGGTGGAGCAGGAGCAGGATATGGTTCGTTTAGCGCCGATCACGCTGACTTTGTATGCGCCGCGCACTGAGGGCCGCGCAGAAGTGATGGGATGGTGCAACTTGTGCGTACTGTCTGTTCACGCGAGCAAATGTGTCTATAGTATTCAGGGAGGTCTATGACGAACCTGTGCACTTGTTTACAGTGTTTTCCCTTGTGGATGATGGAGCGTGTCTCTGTCGACGCCGCCCGATCTGTGCTCCTCCAATTGCCTCCCGCTGTCGCCGAGTAAAGGAGGACCAATCTGCTGAAAACGTCTGATAACGCAACAGGAGAGTCCGTGTCGCTTGTCGAAAAAAAATAGGCTGGCTCAGCCCCAAGCGCAATCGCGGACACGCCCCATCATCTGCAGCAAATCAGAGTATGCGTTTACTGTTTAGTCATCAACGGACTTACGAGATGATGCCGACTCATTTAAATTCCAGTTATTTCGCATTTTTATGGCTGAAAAATTTGTCCTTTTTTCAAATATTCGAGTTCTCTACAAAGTAAGCTTCGCTGTACCGGACTCAGCACATTGACACCTTGCGCTGCTCGATACTGGCTACGCACTCATTACGACCCCCCCCCTCTCCTGGCGGCCAAATACGACCCCCCCCCCCCATGGGGATTCCCCAACCAATGCTGTGCCCCTGGTTGCGACCTCCTATGACGTCGAAATTTTCGAAATTTTACTTTCTAAAGGATTATGCGGTAGGATCAACAGAAGGTCGGTTAATTAGAGGCTCCGGAACCTTATTAAATAAGCTGTGTACGGTCGCATTCTCTGATCGGAATCCATGATCTTTTGGCGTAGCCTGGTCCCCACATGCGGTCTTCGCATTGCCGAGTAGTAGAGAAAAATTGAGTATTTCTGAATGAATCCAAGCGTGACGTCATCCATATTTTGAAGTCGATTAAGGGAGGAAAATGTGTTCCTTAAGCTCGTGCTAGTATCCAGCCAATACCGATTTGCAAGTCCTACTAATAACACATCGAATCTCTTATTTCCATGCACATTTTCTTTTGGAAGCCAACTATTTCCTCTTGAGAGCGTTCTGCGACAGGCATCTGTGAGTAGTTACCAAGACTCCTAACTTTCGCCTAGCAACCACAACATTCTCATAAATTTCCTTCAATGTGTACAAGCCAAAAGAAACACAGTCACGCCGTCATTCGGTCATGATTATCGCGTCAACACAATCGAGGCATCCTTCACAAAAATTTTTTCCGATAACCGAGATTGCGGAGAAGCATGGCAGTTGTCAGTTAGGTGGAGCCTAGAGAGGTTGCCAACTTACTGGTGGTTACGTTCGGCTGCGCCTCAAGAAGCTTGAGTAAAGGGCCGTCATTCTGTGCTGGTGGGCCTATACATTGCATATCTTCGAATTCAATAAGTCCAGCGGGGCGCTGATGCGAAAGCTACCCTCTGCCATGGCAATCTGTATCCTTCCTTAAGACAACGTAGTGTTAGCTTCCTTGACTAGGCGAAATGGCCTACAGGAAACTCACAACATGGGTAGGTCGCAAAGTACCTCGATCTCTAAGGGACTATTAAGTTTTGAAAACTTCCTTCAAGTCATGACATACCCATCTTCAGAAACCCTAGAAGACACTCTCACTCAAGCACGGATGAAAACATTTCAAAATTGTTTGGTCTTTCTCTAGAACAATGCAGTCAGAGTGTCGCAGGACTTTCCATTCAACCTAGTAGATGCTTCACAACTACGCTATGGAAAAGGTTACACTATTTTTAGATCTCAAACATCCATAAAAAGAACGTATACATGATCGACGATTGTTTTTCGACACATCACAGTTGTCGGTCATCTCTGTTTGCACTGAGACCACAACGGATGAGGGGGAGGCATTATGTGACGCAGGTACTCTGAGCGATATAGAAATGATGGCAAGCAGCTGTCTCATCTACACTCCATAGGCTCTAACAGAACTTCTTTTAGGGAAGGGAATTGCAAATGTATTAACTTTAGATTTCTAGATGTTGGCTGGGATCACGCGTCGCACCTTGGGGATCTCCAGAGAGGAGAGACGTGTTTAATCGCTGCTCGGAGGGGATCGTGTCATAGAGGAAGTTTCGAATGCGCCGGCGTCTTTTAAACGTCTTCCCATACGACAGAGCGTGCCTTGGACATGGTAGCCTTTCGATTCCTCTACTGCCACAGTGCTTGGTGAGATCGCGATTTTTCAGTGAGTTCTAGGGGTCTATAGTACAATAGGGAGCTCCGCAGCCCGTTCAGCTCCAAAAAGCACTAGGATGCTATCGTCACTGGTCCAATACCAAGATGTTTCTCTTAAGTGCTGACAAAAGTGAAAAACTTCATTTGGGAGGCTCCAATCCAGACACGCAATAGCACATGGACGAATTACAGTCTTGTTTTCGCTGCAAATGTTGGGGCGTGTCAGGGGAAGGACTGCATTGGGGCACAGGCAACCCGTTCTTCACCATTCTTGGAAGCTGACCCCGCGACTACAACTGGTGAAAAACAGGCTAGTGCTGCGCCAAACCCAGCCCCTCCCCGGTGTTGGCAGCGAGCAGGACTGTAGCTCTTCATGCGGTCGAATCTATGCCATCGAAGGGATTGAGTTTTAGTTGTCCATGGACTGTCGGCTGCTATGCGCCTAACGCTTCCACCTAACGGTTGCCTTGCACGTTCCCATCCCTGGGTATTCCCTAAATGCCCATTGGATGACCCTCTTCCAACTGGTTATTAGCACTTTGGCGTTCCTCATCTACACTACTAATGGCCTTCAACTGTGCTGCGCGAAGGGAAATCTGACTCAGTGCATAACCTAATATTCATCCTTCTCAGAGAGTGTAAGTGTATAACCCTGATATATATCCTTCTAAAAGAGTGCATGACTTAATATTTATCCTTCTAAAAGCCATCAGTCCATATAAAGCACAAGAAATTATAAACTACTCCACACAAGCAAACAAGAAATTCACAGCGATTCATACTCAACAGAAAGCAAAATTTCAAATCACATTGTCCCATTGCACCACAATTAACAAAAACAAGCATTATTTAACTTGACACGAATAAAACTAGCATTTTCTGTCCAGAATGTTTTGAACTAATCCGCCGAAAATAAAAACAAACAGAACACATATATAACAATAACTCTGAGCAAACATTCTATTAAGGACAAGACTGACATCGCAGGCAATCTGGCACTACAAATACCAAGCGAATAGGAGAATAACACTTAGTTTTTCTTTGCATATTCACGATCATGGCATTTTTCTTGGTTTCATCCCAAAACATTGGATCCAGAACAGAGAGCCCTTCTCCGGTTCCGCGCTATAGGTGTTGCCAAAGAAAAGGGCTAAAACGTGGGCTGCCGCGACCCATTAAAGGACCACTCTTTTGCCTGGGTTTTTATTCTACGAGACACAGTTTGACAGTGAAATAAAGGTAATAAACCTACCATAAAGGCCCTACAGGGCATATTTTCCTTCGTTAAATAAACTATCTGGGTCCTAATGTGACACAGGTACGCGGTCTAGCACATTACCTCTCAAGAGATATGTAGATGACGTGCCACTGACGTCACATAACACGTTAAGACGTGTTCTAAGACGTCGTGGGTAGAAATACAATACAGATTCCTTATCACTGACACACCATCTCATTAACACATTCGATGACACGCCATCCCCCAGCTCCTAACAAGTAACGAACCTGTGTTACATTTGCGCCCCTATCTGTGCAACACGTAATAGTTTTTTAATCGCAAACCAACAAAAGCCAGTTGCTACACTATAAAAGCGGTAGAAACCGTGCACATCGTTATGGAAGAAATTCTACCCATGAAAAAATAAGTCCGCACACACGAATAATGGAAGACATTCCAAATAAGAAACAGTAATCTCGAACCCGCACGTTATCTACAAGAATTCACCAGAACCAACTATTGCCCTTATTAAGATATTACTAAAAAATCACAATATCGAGAAATGATGCGACCTTTTCCAGAAAGAAGAAGCTTCAAGCAAGTTCAATATCGATCTTCATTTGAGATTCTGGACTATCCAATGGTGTCCGGAATAGCTGCGCATGTTGAAAGGCATTGTTACCCGTTCCACCAGAAAAATTCACCTGCAGCAAAGAAATGCATACAAAAACACATGTGAATCTTTACTCAGTTTTACATATAGACAGCTTGAAACAGGGTGACAAACTGGGGCGCCACTCTGAGACGAATGTCTTCAGGGTGTGTTCATACTCTGCGTCAACGTGCAGCAGCGTCCACCAAGAGGGAAGTATGGGGAAGTAGGAGGGTAGCAGACTAGTGACTAGGCGTCGTGAAATTGCGGCGAATGCAAGAGTTCCGCACTGCTAAAGCAGAGAATTATGCAATCTCGATGTACGGTGTAGTGCAGTTCTACGGAGCGGTTGCTAGTTAATGACGCCTAATGCAGTAGTCAGCTTCCATCCTATTTCACCCACACTCTCCAGTAATGGTGGACGCTGGCATACAGTGACGTACCCTGGCGTAGGATAGATCACTCGGTTGCTAGTCAACACCCTAACTGCCAGCAGTCAGCTTCCCTCCTATTTCACCCACACTCTCCAGTAATGGTGGACGCTGGCATACAATGGCATACCCTGGCGTAGGATAGACCACTCCCTACACTCCTGGTCGCTGGTACTGGCGTACGCTCGAAATGCTCAAAACGCTGCCATATGACGGCGTACGCTGATGCAAAGTGTAAACGCGTCAGCGTACACCGTCGCCTTAGGGAGAGTTGGCGCAAGGCATTGTTAAACAGCTGACCATCAACGTGTGCAAGAGCTGAATTTGGATTTGTGGTCAGTGCATAGTTTTCTGTTGTGATCATATATGTGGACCATTCAGCAGGAAAACGCTGTTCCTACTAGAAAAGAAAACGGGCCTTCAGAAAGCTTCATATTCAGGGAACAACAAACCACATTCCCTGATTCTGAAAAAAAGATGAACTCACAGTGATTTTCAAAAGAGCCGAAGGCACATCGTCCAATACCAGTTCAGTTGAACCTTTTCGCAAAGGGTAACATACCTGCAAAACACAGATTTCAAAGTAAAAAAAAAGTAGCCAGTATCGAGTAACGTTTACAGGTAACTTCAATTAACTAGTTGCTGCGAAAGTGACGAAAAAGTCATTTCCCGTGAGTTGCATTCCATTTCTAACAGTGAAACAACACGCTCTATAGGTAGTCATGTTATGTTAAACTGTTATAACTGGAAAACTTACATCACCAGCACAAACGGTGACCATGACAGATCCATTCTCATAAACGGTTGCTCCGAAAACTTGAAGACGGAAAGACTTCACCTTCACATCACAAAGATTGATTGTCCAGAAAAGCTTAAAAAATTACATGTCACAACGAGAATGAGGAAATGGGCGAAGAAAGTCATAGTCAAAAAGACTGCTTTCCCTGCAAAGAACTCCACGACTTTGTAGGCATAGAGATTCCCACACTCACACTCCAAAACGCGGAGCTCCTTGCATGAATCGCTTTGTAAAAAAATCAGCTTCATTAGTTGTTCTGCCCTTTCTGCCAGACTCAATACTCTGGATGCTTATTGCCAGAAGAACCAGTAAAGGAGATATATAGACCAGAAGCGGAAGGGTCCAGTGCTTACCTACTGAGCTATGTGAAGAGACTGGACTGGGCGTGAAAGGGATGTCACGGTGAGCGAGAAGATTGGGAGTACCGACAGTATACTGGAAGTGCAATTCGCCTTCTATTGTCGCCCAGTATACATTTTCTGGGTATAAGGCGCACCCATGCATACGGTGCCCCTTGCACTTGGAACGCGGCGAATGGAAAATGCGCTTTATCCCGTTTACTTCCCTTTGTTTTGTTTGTACTTGTACTTATCTATATGAAAAATCTATGTTGAATGAGAAGTATCTGGACAACAAGTAGAAGATCAAAATGCGCAAAAATTATAATACAACAACTGCCACGTTTAGGAACTTGAGGCACGCGCACACGTTGCCGCTTGCGTCTCTACAACCTTGCAGAAAAATGCACCTTATACCCCACAAAAAAGAGAAATGAAAAATTAGCAAACTGATCGTAATTTTCCTCCAGCTTTGACAAATAAATGGTGAAGCTGATGCACATTCTGGACACTTACTTCTGCTTCCTTTTCATTCTCATTCCGACACAGATATGCCATTTTCCAGTCCGACTCTTGTTTTCGATGAACAGTCCCATTGTGGTTAGCGTAGGATGACCAACCTTTGATGCTTTCAGTTCCTCGTGTGTAACAATCTTGAGCACAATTATACTCCAGGCTGTAATGAAGCAGTCTGACATCAACACAGCCTATTTAGTAAGCTACTAAACCATTTTTTTCATCTATCGCGACATAGCAGGTTTAAATTGAAGTTACGGACGAGACTGAAGTGAAACAAAGCGCTACCTGAACTTCTTGTTAGATATTTCTTCCGGAGTGAGTGTAATTACAGTGGGTTCTTGCTTGGAGCTGCAGCCCAACTCAGATCGTGCTGCTCGCCACTCAACATCGCCTTAAAAAAAGTATCCAGTTAGAGGTTATAAATACTTGGAAGAAATCAAACCACCACCACTAGAATGACCAGATGTACAAGTCAACCGAAGATCAAGAATAATGGAAGCACACTAAAATTCGAAGAAGAAAATATGCCAGCAACGGGATGCGTAACGTATGAGACGGGCTTGATACTAGAACTAAATGCAAATGCCTTTGACGGTAATTACAAGAGTTATGATATTTCCAGTAAACCGTATTTTGGACAAAATATAACTAGAGACTTCAGGGTAAGTGCCTTTATCCTGTTGCTTGAAAATCTAAGTGATTGTTTACTGAAGAAAAATAGCATTCAAGAAGTCTCACCAGACACGCGACCTCCGTAAATCTGCCCATCATCGCGCCTTTCGCCAATTATCAGAAACTCGACCAATTCACGCACTCGACGCCTTCTTAATTCCGTGGCTCTTGATGGGGTGATGTCTGCTCCAGCACGTGAATTGAGCTTCTGTTTATAAAATCAATAAATAACGTGAAGAACAAAACTCTGGGGAGCAATACTCACCGAGAGGAAGCTGCTGAGAACCGCTTCGCGAACTTTGTTACGAAGTTTCAAGGTTTTCCTGTGATCAAGGACATATCTCCAAGTCACATCGTAGACGTGATCTGTTCCAAAGGCTATCACATAGCTCAGATTCTTACCCCAACCCTGAAATATGAACAAGAGTGACAAGAGGCGTTCATAAAAGAGAAACATAAAAACACAACAAACACCTTCTCATAGAGAAGTGGTTTGTCGATAGCATTTTCGCAGGGGTCACAGTGAACCCAATTATCGTACTCTGGGATCCACAACTCGAGCCACACATGATCGGTTACATCATAAATAAACCTGTAAAAGAACAGTGAGATCAACTAAGTTTAGAAAACCGCTTCTCTCCACTTACCGCACGTCAAAATCCATGGCAGCAGCCATCAAATCAAAACAGTTCGCCCACTCGCCGCACCGGCCCTT